TATATATACACAGTATGTAAGAAATATCTGCTGCCTCTTTTTAATATTATTAAAAAATAATTATCTGACATTCTGCATTTTGGAAAAGACAAAACGTCCACCCCGGCTTGGCGGTCGCAATTCTCCACTCGAATCTAGCAAATGGCTCTCGGAACAAGAATGTGACAAGGATGATGATATTCCTGGAGCTCCTAGCGGAGAGAGATGAGCTCCTTTTTCTGCTTGCTCAGCATGGTTCCTACGTTGTTGACCTGAACAAGAGAAATTCTGCTATTGGGGATGCTGGAGCTGCTGGAAGGCTGGCCTGATATTTCACGCTGATAGGCAGAGCCCTCGTTGTGCTGGAAGTCGGTATGTTTTGCTTAGCTTAAAGTGGAGATTATTAGTTGGAAGAAGGAAAAGCAATATATCCAGCGCGAGGTAGAAGAAAGCAAGAAAAACTGTCCCAGACCTCATCAGACCCCTAATATTGATACTGCATATAACATTTCTCTGTTATTTGAAATGTCAGGGATAATGTCTGTAAATCTCTGGGTGATTGCTAAACAACTGGAATCGTGTTGGTAGCATTACGGGTAACAAAAGTTAAAGGGAAAATCCATCACGTGTTATTGTGCTTTTGGACAACACATTATAGCCTACATCACTTTGCTGTAAGGCTAATAGAGACATAGAGAAATCTTAATGAATTGGAAGCTGGGAACCCATGTATGCTGTTTCTGGATGCTTCTGTAAGGAGATCCTTAAGGGGGCCCTTAGCACATCAATATACATGACACAGTACCATAGAGACCTGGAGGGTGAGAAGTCATGTCTTTGCTCTCTCATATGCATTTGGTTGATGAGAATACACCATGTAGTCAGTGTATGAGAAGACACCATCTAGTTGATTCTATGTACCCCCAACTAAGGGCAGTAAGAAACTGTTTGCTGTGCTCCGCCTGAGGTTCCCTGAGTGCACCTCCTCTGTGAACTTGGGGTGGTGAGAGGTAGTCACTAGTTCCTCTGTGTGGAGCAAGCAACCTGGGAGAAGCTACTTCAGTAGAGGAAGAGAATTGACACAGGCTACGGAGAGGTTAAGCGTGCAGAGATGGTCAGGACCACTAAATGGCGCAGCAGAGACAAGAGGCCCAGATTTTGAGACACATGTAGAACATTGAGGAGTCCATGGCCTGCTAAGGTCCCAGTTGTAGAGAGGGAGAGGGAGAGAAAAAGCACCTAGAGTCGGTTACTCTAAAAGTGAAGTGTAGCCCAAGAGTTTGAAGAACAATCTGTGGAGCTGCATTGAGTGATGCTTGTAGAGAAAACTCCCACTCTGCTGTGGTGTAGTTATCACTAGAAATGGCTGTGTGGTCACCCTCACCCCATGAATCAAATGTAATCTTTTCTAGCCAGACTCATATGTGTTGTTTGCGGACTTGTGTCTTCTAGATGAAATATGGATTAGCGGTGCAGTCAAGTCCTGGAATACCTCTGACATCACCATATGGTAAATACAAATTCAAGTGTATAGTGCATTAGAAATGGATCCCTATTAGTCCCCATAAGCTCTTCAGTATTTGTATGACAATTCGGAATGCTATTGTAGCACAATGCTCCATCTGTTCTCCGGGTCCAATTCTTGTTTTCATTACCTACCTTGATCTTCTGTGTTAAGACTCTGCCTGGAAACCACCTGCCCTGATTCCTGCCTGTGCACACACATCATTGTTTCTTAAAGATTAGGTACCTGCATTGGGTGCCTGTTGGGTCACCAGCATTCATACGTTTTGGGATCTCTTGCTGTGTTCTGTATAGTAGATGATAGCTTAATAGCAACATCACCACCTTGTGTTACTCCAGCTAAGCTAACCTCCATCATGCCCTTTCCATGACAACTGAGTCCCTGTTCATTCAAATGCCACTTTATGGATTGACACACCTCCTTTAGATCTTGATCTATCCGGGCAGTATGGTCACCTGCTGAATCAGCACAATCTACAGACAGCTTAACTCTCCAATATGACACAGAAGTAAAATCCTACACAGTTTTACATCTCAAAATGCGGGAAACAAAGGATGTGTTTCCAGTCTTCTGAAGTATTCTTTCAAGCCTGGTATCTGTCATGAAGGTTAGTAGTATATTGGGGCAACATGAAGAAGGAAGGGAGGAACTGTCTGAACATTAAACTACTGAGCACTAAACAGGAGAGGAGAATAGAGGGAGATACCAGATTTAAGAATAAACGAGCTGCTGTTATGTGGTCTACAATTAGATGTCAGACATGCATCAGAACTGCAGACATTTGCATGCAAATCAGTAGGTGGGACACAAGAGGGCTGGATTTAGACCTTGGGGAGTCTAAGGCATTTCAGGTTCAGCTGGTTCCTCATACAGAAGAATTATAATACATGGCAAATTACAAAATGTACACATAAAAGTTGGTTTATTGCATGTGATTGAAATGGACACGTTATTCATACAATACATAGAAAATTTAAATGTTATATCATGTAAATATGAGAGTTATCTGTCTAAAGGAAATACACATATATGTATATGTGTGTAAATGCATGCCAGCAAAACTCCAAGTAGATTTTTTTGGGTAAGGCGAATAACAAAGATCATAGCTATACTGCTATGTACTCTTTAGTTCCCATAGATAATGGCAGTAAAGTCATACCAGGAATTCCATGCTTGTGATGCTGATAGGAGGATCTTGTTTGCATAGAAGCGTAGTCATGCCAGTTCTCGATTAAAACCCAGTAAAGAGGCCTTGACCGATAATGGCACAATAAGCAACCTAAGTAGGGAATGGCCAGTCTATAGCTTTACTGAATGTACCTCTTCCAGCAAAACATATGTCAAGTGGCGTTACAGGTAAAGGTGTCCTTCCAATATATTTTGGAACTTGAACTGGGGCCATGAGGGTACTTATAGCTATGCAAATACAGGTTTAGATAAAGTCTTTATTTGCATAGCCACTATAACAGGCCATCAGCAGCACTGGAGGGACCATAAAAACATAGGTATCTACTGGCAGCTTATGGCCACAATGCCCAAGGGCTGCATATAGTTCTTTGGTATTTATCTGTGGCCTCGGGCCCCAGCAGCCTGTGGTCAGTGTTTCCCCTGCCTTCTGATCCCAACATGACCTGAAACAGTATGAGGAGAAGTGATCTTGGAATGTCACGTGACCTGTGATTTAGGGAAAGCATGGAGGACACCTCTCATGGAACTGTGCTAATGAGGAGGTAAGAGAGCTAAAAGGTGCCTCATGGTACTCCAATACCCACCATGTCAGAATGGCTGCCCATACCATGGTATCCATAACTCCATCCATAAGGCCAGTGATGTAAAAATATTTATTTTTCTGGGTTCTGCTAATCACATTGTTTGGATTATTGCTTCCATGCTGTTTTTTAAACACTACCTCTTCCCTTTGATTTTTATGCATTGTGGTCCTTGCTATGTGCAACACCAAGTATGGAGACAGTCATTTGTAGGAAGCACAAATGTGGAAGCATTCATTTTTATTGGGGGTATAATGGCAATGATCTCTAGTAGTCTCTGTATCCAGTATCTGTCTCCTGTAGCATGTACCCAACCTCCAACCACACCTATAGCATGTATTCACAGTCTCTGACCTTGTCCTGTATCCTGCCAGCAGTCTCTGGCCACCTCTGGTAGTATGTCTGTAGCCTCTGACATTCTCCTGTAGCATAAACCCAACCTCCAACCACACGTGTAGCATGTATTCACAGTCACTGAGCATGTCCGGTAGTCTGCTTGCAGCCTCTGACCACCTCTGGTAGTATGTCTGCAGCCCCTGACATCCAGTAACGTGGACCCAAACTCCATCCAAATGTGTAGCATTTATACACAGTCCCTGACCATGTCCTGAAGCCTGCTCACAGCCTCTGGCCTCTTGTAGTATGTCCGCAGCCTCTTTCAGCAGTACACATACTTAATATTATAGCCTTTTGGCTGAAGTTGAGGTGCCCTATGCCTAGTATGTTGGTCACCATTGGCTTACCACCATGTCAGCTACAACATAAAGTTGTTAGGGTCACTTTAACCAAGGGGGTCTGTGCTTATTCAAATAGGTGTGACTCTCTACCGACATCAACTCTTATTTTTCATATTACTCTTTGCCTTGTTGACTCTTGGAGCTTGGCCCTTGCGTTTCACTGTTCCTCCTAGTCCTTCTTTTTTCTGTTCTCAAAAAAAATGATGTCTCAGCTACAAATACAGCAAGTTGCTGTCTCTACAGCTGAAATAGGCAGCAGTGCAAAAATCTGACATGGACAGAAGGTGGTGCTCTTGCCTCAACGCTGTATAATGGATTCTAATAACTTGAGTTGAGACATAAGAAACAGACTATATATGGAATGTACAGTATATCTGCAATCCATAACCCGGCAGAGAATGGTGATGTAATTAAATCTTGGGGCTCCACACCTGTGTGTAGTGCTATCAGTACTTTATTTTGGGATATAGTCTAAAACATTTTGAAATGTTGTCCTCGGAAATGTTACCAACTGTATTAATTGAACAGCATCATGTTAATGCTCCTAATTTCATTATTATCCTTTCCTTTTATAATTGTATGGCTTTTGTAATTGAATTAAATAATTATGTAGGCTGCTAATTATGACGGTGGGGCTCTGCATTATGGTTATGCCACCATTAGGATTCTGTTGCTAGTGACAAAATAATCACTAAGGGGTCTATTCACTAAGCTGCCGTAGGCAGCCGAGTGAAAGACCGACCTGAAGTGAAGTGAGCCGAACGCTGTTCAGCTATTCACTTCAGGCTGGTACAGGTGATTTCAGCCGTATATCAGCTGAAATCAGCCAGACATCGGGTGGCTTCACGTGTCTTCGGGTTGGCCAAACATGCTCAGCATGTTCGGCTGACCTGAAGTGCAGGAGGAGTTCGACTCAGCCGATCCAACATCTGGATCGGCTAAGCCGAACCTCTGGCAGGCCACTCGCTGCTGTTCAGTCAATTCTTATAGGTGCTGAACGGCAGTGAGTGAATAGCGGAATGCCGCTGAGCTGCATTCGGCTCGGCTGTTCTGCTCGGTCCCTTAGAAGGACCGAGCAGAACAGAAAAATAGTTTAAAAAGTCCAAAAAAATAAATAGAAAACCATTGTGCGGAGCTAGCAATGACAGCTAGCTGCGCCCAATAGTTTTCTATTGGCCGGCGGTTCTGCTGCCGTCAAAAAAAAAGAAAAGAGAAAAAAAAACTTTCCCGGGCGCTCTGGGAGTCTCCCGCTCCCGGCCACCCAGGAGAGAAACACTGCTCTTTCTTTTTTTTTACCATTTACCATCTCCTATTGTGTTGCTCGCTTGCTTGCAGAAGCAGTGAGATGTCACTCAGTAGCCAATAAGATTCTACGTCGAGGAAGTCCATTAAGTCAATTGAAGTTGGACTTTGCTTAATTCTACCTTAAAGTGGATCTAGCACTGGATATATTTGTTCATGTTAAGTTCATACATGCTAAGAAATGTGTAGATGTAACACTTCCAGGTATTTGTTACCTCACATACTTCCCCGGACAATGTCCTCATCAGCTCTCTTCTCCAGAAGGACTGCCATCTTTATTTAGGCATCATCCATGGTCACATCTACCTTCTGGACTGAGCTGTAGGCTCAGAGATGACACAATCATCCCGGTGCAGATGTCTGACACAGATCAGCTGCTTTGTTGCAGCCCCTTGCCCTGTGACTTGCTTTAAACAATGTTGCTGTCTGATCACTGAAGGACAAGAGACTGAGTAAAATGCTTCCTCCTGCCTGCAGCAGACTGATGACATCATCTTACTCCAGTCACTGAAGGCAAGGATGGCTTTTTAATGATAAAAGGTGGGGCATTTTTGATATTTTATTCATGGTGACATATATAGCTACTAAGCCCACACAACAAAAATGTAACTTATTGTAACTTACTAGACTTAAGGTGAGGTGGCTGTATTAGTTTTCTTTATTTCAGACATTTTCTCTAATTTTTACCTGGTGATTCTGCCAATAACACACTTCCTGTCCGAGGGTGACAATGAGGGTGGTCACTGTACTGTATCTATGGAGGAGCAGCATTGACATCCCATTTCATAGGGAGGAAGAGTTGTAGAGATACCTTTTAAAAGCAGGTTAAGTTGTTTAAAATTTAGGTCAGTACACAGAACACTACAAGGATTCTGGAATTCCATCAGGATCAACAGGTCATTTGTTTGTATTTGCAGAAAATGTACTTGGACTGAAAAAAGAAAATAAATGGCAGCCAGGACTGCCTTCGCCCCAAGCACCAGACTGGCTGCAACCCTGGTCTAGTCTGACACCCTCAATGTTCTGATAGAAGGTGCACAACATATCCCAAGGTGAACCAGTCTGCGCTA